TGTACTGCAGCAGTAGTACCTGTATATGTTGTCTGTACTGCAGCAGTAGTACCTGTATATGTTGTTTGTACTGTAGCTGTAACACCTGTATATGCTGTCTGTACTGCAGCAGTAGTACCTGTATATGTTGTCTGTACTGCAGCTGTAGCACCTGTATATGTTGTACTGCAGCAGTAGTACCTGTATATGTTGTACTGCAGTAGTAGTACCTGTATATGTTGTCTGTACTGCAGCTGTAGCACCTGTATATGTTGTACTGCAGCAGTAGTACCTGTATATGTTGTCTGTAATGTAGCAGTAGTACCTGTATATGTTGTCTGTACTGCAGCAGTAGTACCTGTATATGTTGTACCGCAGTAGTAATACCTGTATATGTTGTCTGTACTGTAGCAGTAGTACCTGTATACGTTGTACTGCAGTAGTAGTACCTGTATATGTTGTCTGTACTGTAGCTGGGCTTCGTACTCTCTCTGCTGGTTCTTCAGTCTGTCTTCTTTGGTTTTAATAAAGTTTTCATAGTCGCCACGGTAACTGTCCAGCCTCTGGGAGTGCAGGTGGATGATGTCCGTTACCACGGCGTTAAGGAAGTTCCTGTCATGAGAGACGACCAAGATGGTCGACTGCCACGTCTGTGGAAGGAGGTATCATTGGTATTTGTTAGCTCGTGGCTAACTGTTGTCATTGTTTACAATAAGGAATGCCAACGTCAAAGTGAGTGACAGTTCAGACCTGCAGGTAGTTCTCCAACCACAGAATGGCTCTGACATCCAACATGTTGGTCGGCTCTGAAACACACACAGTACATCAGAATACTACTACTGTTACTGCTACTACTACTACTGCTCCTACTACTACTACTGCTACTACTGCTCCTGCTTCTACTACTGCTCCTACTACTACTGCTACTACTGCTCCTACTGCTCCTGCTTCTACTGCTCCTACTACTACTGCTCCTACTGCTCCTGCTTCTACTGCTCCTACTACTACTGCTCCTACTACTACTACTACTCCTACTACTGCTCCTACTACTGCTACTACTACTACTGCTGCTCCTGCTCCTACTACTGCTACTGCTACTACTGCTCCTGCTTCTACTACTGCTCCTACTACTGCTCCTGCTTCTACTACTGCTCCTACTACTACTGCTCCTACTGCTCCTGCTTCTACTGCTCCTACTACTACTACTACTCCTACTACTGCTCCTACTACTGCTCCTACTACTGCTCCTACTACTACTGCTGCTCCTGCTCCTACTACTACTGCTACTACTACTGCTCCTGTTACTGCTCCTGCTACTACTACTGCTCCTACTACTGCTCCTGCTTCTACTACTGCTACTACTACTACTACTACTGCTCCTGTTACTGCTCCTGCTCCTACTACTACTGCTCCTGTTACTGCTTCTGCTCCTACTACTACTGCTCCTGCTCCTACTACTACTACTGCTCCTACTACTGCTCCTACTACTACTACTACTACTACTACTGCTCCTGTTACTGCTCCTGCTCCTACTACTACTGCTCCTGCTCCTACTACTACTACTACTACTACTGCTCCTGTTACTGCTCCTGCTCCTACTACTACTGCTCCTACTACTGCTCCTACTACTACTGCTGCTCCTATTACTGCTCCTACTACTACTGCTCCTACTGCTACTGCTCCTACTGCTACTATTGCTCCTACTACTGCTCCTACTACTGTTCCTACTACTGCTCCTACTACTGCTCCTACTACTGCCCCTACTACTGCTCCTATTACTACTACTGCTCCTACTACTGTTCCTACTACTGCTCCTACTACTACTGCTCCTACTGCTACTATTGCTCCTACTACTGCTCCTACTACTACTGCTCCTACTACT